CCATCACACACTGCTTCTCCTGTCCAGGTTAACGTCTCCTGGTCTTCCCCCCTTCCTTTTTTCATTCTCCAAGCCTTTTCTCTCGGTCTTTCTCTACCCTATCCCTTCCTTTATTCTTTCCTTCTTTTCTCTGTGTTTCTCCATCATCTCTCCTTGAGTGAGAGTAGGCAGCAGCAGCCCTGCTGGGAATGTAGTTTTGAAATCAGTCTGAAACAACCTAGTTAGGCAGCTTCTGAGGAGGCCTGGGTTACAGACTGATTCCTCTTAGCTCTTCTCTCTTAATCGACCTCCCAAGATGGGCTGTGGTCCAGATGCCTTAGAAAGAGAGGACTTCACACTGTGGAACATTTCCCTTTCTTCCTCTCCTCCACCCCATGCAGCCAGTATTTCCCTCAGGAAACACAGAACCCTTCCCAGTTCCAACTATTGTGAGAATAAAAGAGAAGAGGGAATGAGAGGGCTTTTGAACTTTTACCATGCACCTGGAATTTCATTTGCAGCTTTCCTATTTTATATTTGATAATTCTCAAAATGCTATGAGGTATGAGGTAGGTAATACTATCCCATTTTTACATCGTAGGAAATGGGAGCTGGGAAAACTTGAGTAGCATGCCAAGGCAAAACTCCACACCCAGTCTAAGTCCAAAATCTTTACTGCGGCTTCTGGAAATAATGGAGAAGCATTGGGGTAATTGGAAAAGCTTAGAATTTTAATGGGGCCACCACACTCAACCATAAATATCAACTTAAATGGCTGAGACCATTGCATCCTTTGTGCCAATGGAGTGTTTATCAGCTCTTGTCCCTGCAGGAGGAGGTGAAGGCTTTGCATGGACAGATGTAAGACTTAACCAAACCCTACGGTTTGTGAGTTTTGAATAAAACCCCAACCTTTCCAGGTCTTACTTCATTTGCACGTGGCTCTGTTTAGCTCCCCTGTTTTTATGAAGAAAGGCTAAGAGAGCCATTTTTAAAAGTCTCCAAAGACCCCTTGGTCATCAGAAAAGTTCTCAGTGTAAAGCATTCCTAATGACTTATGGAGAAAGCAATCCGGACCATCTGGGTAACATTTCTGCAGAAATACACACGGGTGGGAAAAGGTTTAGAGGCCAAAAATATATTTCTTTTTTTTTCTCCTTTGCCAAAGAAAGAACATTTAAGGCAGCTTGAGATATGTGAGAAATGTCTTGTTCTTTCCTTGGGGTGGGTGTTGGTGAGCAGCTGTTTGCTATTTCCACTGAATTTACCAAGGGCTTGCATGTGGAGAAGCTGCCAAAGAATTGGGGTAGACTTAAGAAGGAACTTCCTGTCTTTAGATCTTGGTGATATAAAATAGGACCTTTGCCAAGGACATTTTAATAAGACAATGTGATGGTTCATTTTTATTTTCCCATTATGATGATTTGATAAGCATGGTACATTTGCAGTCACAGACCCCTTTGAGAACCTCACAATTTCAACAGACCCTCTCTCTTCTGAAAAATATACTTACAAAAATGCCTACAAAGTTTTGCATGGCATTTCATTTGCCAATCTCATTCATGGATATGTTTACCTGGAACCAGCTTCAAGATCTCTAGAGTGGATGATTTTTCTGCTCTCCAGCCTGACCTTAAATTTTATAGGTTGCTTCATTATAGTTGAGCTTGAGAATTTGGAAAGTAGAAGCCAATAGGGAAATAAAAAAGCAGGTAAACAGCCCTTTTTTTGTAGAAATAGACAAGAAATATAGATAAATGTTCAGTGAGAAAAATGGAGGTTTTACTTCCCCCTCTGTAAATAAAAATAAGATTGAGCCCTATTTGTGCAGGACTCTGAGCCACCTGCCACTGCCTCAGAAGCTTAAGTTTACTACTCCTGTCAAATCTCAAAGGAGTTAAAATACCTTAATCTGGGGTTCTTTGGGTTCAGAACAGACAGAACAACTTAAGCCCACATGTGTTAAGTGCCTACTGAAGATTCAGAAATAAATATCCTCCCTGGTCTCTGCCTTCTAGGAGCTCAAGTCCATTACTGAGCCCTACTTATCTCTAAACAATCACAATGTACCACAGTATGTAGCTGGCATGGCAGGGTCTACAGGAAAAGCTGCAGAAGCTAAGAGGAGAACAGGTTTGCCTTTATATGAGATGCAATGTTTTGCACCTAGCAGGAGTTATTTTTACTTTGTTTTAAATGCAGCTGAATTAATAAGAACTAATATTTACTGAGTGATTACTATGTATGAGCAACATTCAAGCCTTTCATATCTTTCTTGTCTAGATTTTTATTAGCATGTCCTAATTGAATAAAAATGAGATATGCCATTTAGTCTTCTCTCTCTTTCTCTCTTTCTCTCTCTTTCTCTTGCTCCCCCCTCCCTACCTCACCCTTCCCCTAACCTGCTGGGGCAATAAGCTTAAAACACAACTCTTATCCACCATTCTATTCATCCAAAACCTGGAGGATTTTGCATTGCAAACCAAAGTACTAAAATCAGAACCTTTCTGCCCAGAATTAAATGCCCTCCATCTTCTGGCTGGTGTTCTTTACTGTATTATTTACACCTAGCTATCATTCCTTTATATTCACTGTTAACAAAAATCAACTCCTCATTGCTTCCAGTTCCAAGTACCCCTCTTCCTGAGCCCTAATTAGACCCAGTCCTCCTACTTTCATGTCTTCTTCTCCCCAGTAACCCTTCAGTTCTGTATGATACCAGGTGCCCTATTATCAGCTTTCTCACACCTGAAGTCTCTGTCATAACATGTATCATCATTGTAATTAAACAGCGATGGGTGATATTATTTGTTTAACATGTATTTCCTGAGCTAGAACTAGAACTCAAGGGCTTAAAAGTTATATTCACAATGAGACTCTGGCACATAAAAAATACAGTGAAAACGTATTAACTGTACCCTGTGTGCCCAGGAAGTACTCGGTGTACCCCTCAAATAGTCCTGTGATATCAGTACTATTATTATGATTATAATCCCTATTTTCAGATGAGAAAAACTGAGACACTGGGAGGCTAAATGCATTTCCCAGTATCACATACCTGATCCAAGATTCAAACCCAGGCCACCCCGCTACAGAAGCCATGCCCATAGCCACTGTGCTCCTCCTGGGAGGAGCCCAGGATATATTTATTGCACAAACAGAAATTCTTCGTAAGCCCTTCAATCTTTGAGAATATTGATACCCTTCACTTTCTGCCTTTTCTGAT